GTGGTCCGCGATCATCGCATTTCTGGATATGCGGACCGCAGTTGACTCGCCTGATAGACCTGCATTATCAAAGAGTGAAGTCCTAGGGAAAAGTGCAATTCCGTCCTCCTGCACTATACCACTATGTCTACGACAAGTTTTCTTCGTCCTTTCGCTGTCATTTGTTGCCTACGTCAGGATTGCCACATGTCTACGTCTCTCTCTTCCACTTTTTCTATCGAAGAGTGTTGTCCGTAGCTGGAGAAGAGTTCCAATGTTTCAGCTTAGAGCTCCTGCCATGTGAGCGCGCGACCGGCTTAGGTTACGCTAATGATATTGTTTTACTTGGTGACAACCCGCAGAGTATGCAGCTCATTCACTAACGTTTGTCAGATGAAGCATGTATGTTTTTCGCCTACTGGAGGTATAAAGCTCTGCTCCAAGATTTGTGCTAACACTTGAAACTAAATAGCTCGAGGTGTTTCCTCTGGTTTCTTCTGGCTGCACTATTGGTAAGGAAGTTTCTCCCTGCATCGCTAAAACCAGATCGGCATTTGTCAATCTGAGGTAATTGTGGCGTCTTCGGGACGTCTCCAACTCGATAAATGACAGCGTTTACAGTGTCTCTGAGCCAGTTCTGGTCAATACGCGTAGAGAACATGCGCCGTCATTCCGGCTTCGACACTGGTTAAGGAGGATCTCCCTCAACTGTTGGCAACTCCGAACTCACAGTGACAACCTTAAAGGTCCCATCTTGGGGAACGCGAGTATTCCTTTTAATAAGCTGGTTTTCCTGCGCCACTAGAGATGGCTCGGTCACGTCCCATACATGGCGCCTGAATGTTTGCCGCACCACTTCCTATTCGCTCGTGCAGGATTTGACTGGAGGTGACCTCTTGGCAGTCAGCCTTCCACTTGGCGACAGCACAGGAAATTGCTGACTTCACGTTTAACCACCGTTGGACCCGTACTTCTTCCTGGATTGGGACTAAATGATAAGGAATTCCTGTAGGTTGAGATGCTTAATGGCATAGCACGCAAGCGGAATCTGTTGAAGAACTGCATGCAGAATTAACTCGTTTCACATGCCAAACGCTTCAAGTATTGAAATTGACAATACAAGAAAAACGTGAGCGCGTGAAAAATGTGTGTCTTCCCATTATCGCTCAAATTGTACTCGCCTTCGATTCCCATGGTCTTTTGGATGACTCCATGTCCACTCCTTATCATATATATATATATATATATATATATATATATATATATATATATATATATATATATATATATATATGTATGTATGTATGTATCAACATATGCGCTTTCGTTTGCACGTGTTAATATTAAGTTTGATGTCATGCCTATATGCTTAAAGTCACGCCGCTTTCGGGACATGCCGCCTTTCGTTCCGAATGATGACGCATACTATCTGACTGTGATAATCACCCAGCAGCCAAACAGGAATCCACACCATACCCCATTGAATAACGGTTTACGGGACTAAAATTCGCTGCAAAATCTGCCGATGGTGCACTGAGGTGGCGATGTTTCAACAGAATATGTTCGATCCATCAAACACACTTTCTAGTATGCAATGATCGGTCCTAAGGAATGTCATCATCGTGCTACGTCGAAAGTGACCACACGCAGTTGTCCTCCTTAGCGGAATATCTATGCGTCGGTCACATGGAGTGCGCAGTCATCCATTCGCTTTTGAAAGGGAACTGACGATAAGTACAACTTACGTTTCCTTCGAATTGAGGTATCTGCCTCGTCAGAATTTTTTCCGTGAACTTTCACCTGTGAAGACATTTAAGTTTTATGACTTCAGGTTTTCTGCTTCATAAGTCATCTTACAATTCGCAATCTAATTTTGTCTGTATGTATAGTTCAAACTTGACCACCATCGTTCTCTTTCATTTATGCAGTGGCTCGCTGCACCGTTTGTATGGGGATCTACGGGCACGGTTTGTCATATAGTAGCCACTGTTCCGGTGAACGAAAAGTGCTGACACGCGATGCATTTCAAGAACCCAAGGTACTAGCCGATGTGGTTCTTGGTGTATCAACCAGCTCTGACTAACAGCCGTTCCACTTATCATCGAACTCTCTCGTGGAGGCTGCGTGGCATGCGTCGCTTATGCGTGTAGTCCGAGTGCACATATATGTTTGGGCTCCCAGGCGTCCTACTGCGGGCCTTCGATGTGGTCCTATGTTGGCCCGTTGCCGTCTGCCTTTTTGATACTTTTACGCTACTGGCACTCGGCGCAGTAGTATCTGTTTTGGTCCACCACAAGATGACACACCTCCACAATATTATCTAACGGTGGATGAGCACGGACGAAAGCCAGTACTGTTGGTATCACAGATGGTGCGACCTGCACGCTAACTAGGTCAGTGAATTGTATTCGGTTGCTTTAGTAGCTTATTCTATCACACTCTGTTGTACTTGCCATTGTCAACGTCTACGTTCATCAGAGTAGAACGTGATTGCTTCATATACCTGCTGCTCTGAGCAGTTACTTAACATTTGGGTAAAATCTCTCGGATCGCTGTGTACTTACTTTGGTCTCCTAATCCTAAAATGGTGACTTGCATCCGTTTGTTTTTGATTCCTCGACATAAGTTTCCGTCGCTTACTCCCATTTAGCCGGACTCAAATTGTACCGGCATGATATTGGTCAAAGCGTTATGTGGACTCCTGGCGGCGCCCACTTTGCACATCGAATGCCACCTTTGGAGTCACCTATTTCTGAGCCATTCAGTACATTTCTGATCGCGATTGCTTGTTTCCTACTACAGTCGCAACTTCAAACACCATAAGGGAATCCGGTTTGCAGAGCTCAGCATTGATTGACATTGCAGTTGCTGCTAACAGCTAATGCAACAAGGAACGATAACACAACACACACGTCGCATCCTCCTCAAGCTTTGATGCATATAACTGTGTACCACCGCTCTTGAGCACTAAGGGACCCTACAGCGCAGCATAATCTGGACTACTTTACTTAAAATCGATCTGTTTGTGCTCACTGTTTTTGTTCATCCTAGTTGTGGTCGACGTATGCTGCTCTGTACCCACATATCTTCCACTACAGAAAATACGTGATCACTGCCTTGCATCTTCTTGTTTCTCATTCGCTAACCAAAACACCGGGTACACTGAGTGAGCTCAGTCGGTTTCTTTCGTTCCACTCTTCTGGTGCGCTTTACTTAGGAAAGGCGCGAGACGCTTGTCGATGATCAGACACCGTTATGTCGTCGTGCGGCACTCTACTGCCCCTACGAGATTTCTCTCCATTTGTTTCAACCTCTGCTTCTTGGTCCTTCTCCTTTTCTTTTTTACCAGGTTGTAATCACCCATTTTCACTTACGACACGCAGTGCTTTTAAGTGGTCACTCACCTTTATAAAACTATTTGGCTAGGTGGCACATGCTGGCACCGCGGATCGAAGATGCGTTTAGTATGCTTGATGTACTTTAGACTTCTTTGGTTTAGGCGTTAGTACTTTAACCGGGTATCTTTAATTGCTAAGCCCTATCCCTATGCTCCCATTTCGAGGTAGGTTCTTTTCAATGGTTTGTCCTCTCACTTTGATTAATTTGGAGCATTTGTGATGCCCGTTGCTCTTTTAATTGGGCACGTCCATATTGTGATGCCTTGCCATCATCCATTCCTAGTCAGCATATCGTGTCCATTATGATCATCTGTTCTAAACGTACTAGGGATAAGTGTGAGTTGCTCCCCTACGCTTTTCGAGGACAGTCTACACGAACTACTCTCACCGACTATCACTGCATAAGCATTGAACCGCTCAGCACCATTATATCATGCACCAGGCTCTTTTAGCTGGGCCACGTGTTGCGTATTTCAGCACACCGACTCCCGCGACGTGCGTTCTTTGCGCACCGAGGGTGTGGATAGAAGAGGAGAGGAGTCCAAGCCTTGACTAGGTTAAGAAGAATGAACGCCAACACTTCGAAGTTGGCGTCGGCCGGTGCATCCAGACTGCCTGGCTGGCTCCTGAGGACAATGAACACCTTTGGTTGGACACACTTGCTGACATGACTAGGATCCGGCCCTAATGGCGTTTGTATTGAGAGTTTCTTTTCCATCCTCCTCTCCTTTAGATTCCTCCTCCAATTACAATCTTATGGCAATTAATAATATGATATTTAACATTATATTACTGTTTTTGAATATTTTCATAGTCTCTAATTTTTAGTATCTTTGTATTGCGGCACCTTAGCTGAGTTTTGTTTCTGACCCTCTACTAGCTTGGTGCTGGTGGTAGTGGTAATGATCATGCTGGTGATTATGATGATGAGAGTTGACAGCGCTAAAGCAACAGCTCGATTCGCATCTGAGGTGGATTTCATGGGGCAGCTAGGAAACTGCGTATGTTGACTGAACATTAATCTCTCATCCGCAGCCAGATATCCAGGTCGTGTATGTGGCTTTCTGCTGCTCGTGATGCATGTTTCCTGTGCTTTACCTCCAACACTCAGGTTCGTGTTTGCTTGCCTATGCGTTACAATTTCTTAGATCGCGGTAGGTTAATGGTGGGTACCACCATTTAATGCAATGTTCTTACATATACTAGGGATCAGCCAAAGTTCTTTCGTCAGCCCACTGACAAGGCACGCCCACCCCCTGCTTGTGTAGGGATACTTGATCCGCCGTTACCGATGGTTCACACGTGGATACGAGTCGTTCTTTTCTTTAAGGCATTTCAGACGATTTATTGTTTGGTTTATCTTACTCGGTTCGAATTATATTTACAGCGACAACACCTTCGTCTTGAGGTCTTACTCTAGCCGACGCATTATCTATCTAACCTTTTCATTAGCATCCAACGATTCGTATGACCGGCAGTTTGCATTTGTCGGTTTACTGCTATTCGACGTAAATGTGGGCTCCAGACCTCAACTCCGGTGATTTTACTCGTAGTTCACAAAGTGCTTTTTCTTTTGCGCTTCATCGCACTCTGGTTTTGTTTTCATCCCGCTTCCAATTTCAGCTTGGAATTGTGACGTTATCTCTTTTCAATGCAATCATCTCGTTGAACTGCGAGGACGTCATGTTGTACTTGGTCTTGAGGTGAGCACATTCTTTTACAATTGGTGTCCTGTTGCCTCACTCCCTACACACACCTAACTTTGATTCGTCTTCGAGCACTATTCCAGTGTCTCATTCGGAACTCCCGATCACTTAGCTTAAGGTAATTGAACTCGCGGATTCCAACTTACATTCCGTCCCGGTTCAACTGAACTGTCGTATGGCTGAGCTCAACTTTTATGCACTGATTCATGCTGCTTACTGTTTTGACCGAGGCCTTGTTTTCAACCCACGTTAGTATTATTTGCCGGTTTTTCCCGATGTGCCTACTTTCTTGTCTTTTACACTCGATGTCACGACATTTGTGTGCCCAGTGGTTATAATATATGGCGGTCTGCCACCACCCTTTCACTTGGCTTAGTGGTTTAACCTGCTAGCTGGGGATATATGCCTTTTAGTGGTCATAAGTTCGATTCCTGATAGGGCCGGGGAATGCGCACCACGGACGAACCCCAATAGGGCAAGACGAACTTCTGGTGTTTTTGTGATAAAGCTCTCTGGATTGTAAGCTGCTGTGGTGAATTCAGCAATTTTTCGTCACCCCCCCTACTCATCAGTGATATTGAATGTATTGGAACTGAACGCTACAAACCTCATGAACTGCCTTTCTACTCTAGGACCTTGATTCCTTCTGCGGTGCTTAGGTGCCACGTTACTGACTACCACAAGTACTGTATAGCCCTTCTCAGCCATTCATTGACTCAATCTCCTCCGTTGAATTTGTCATTAGATGAATAGCTGCCTTGTGCTACCGAATAATGTGGTCATTTGTATTTTCAGAACATTGAATCAGAGGCCCATCACTCTAGCTCCCCACTTGTCCGAATTTACCGTGTGTTGAGTCACCGAAGCCCACACGCGGAGCTGTGACCTCCCGGCAGTCATCTGATCACCCGATTCAGGTTCTCCTGTAAATCACTACACATTTCTGATTATACCATCCTGAGGTTCCGGGTATACATAATGTGGAATTAGAATTCCGCAAAAGTGCTGATATATATATATATATATACATATATATATATATATATATATTAACAACGTTGTGAAAAAGTCCTGCATTACTTTGAAGAAAACATACGTAGTTTGATAGCTTTGTCGTTTAAATGAAAAGTGAAGCGCACAAAAACCACTTATAATGTAACTCATCAAGTTTGGTTTCTTTGTGCATATACTTATTTTGGCCACAAACTATGGAGTGGAATAACCTACCTTATCTAATTCGCATAGAATGCCTTTAATGTGTCAAATTAGGATCTAAACCGACTTTTCAAACAACTTGATTTTCCTCCAATAGAGACGTAAAATTTTCTGGCCAATAACAGGATAGCGTATATATTCATCAATTTGAAGTGAGTTTTAGTGCGAACCCCGTAACACATTTTTGTCAGATTGAGTAGGGTGTTATCATGAGATCCTTTAAGTATTTGGACAAAGATGCGCGGCTTAAAGTAATTTTGCTTCATGAAGGTTACTCAAACACGGAACAATTATCGTAAGTCGGCTGTTTTCATACATACTAAACAGCAAACTAAAATTGGAAGTACAGATGACACGCATCGATCTGGTCGACCCAGGAGGTCGACTGGCCGAGAGAGCCAGGTGTTGCTGAGGACATCTTTGCGTGACAGGAAGCTTACATCACCTTAGCTGCTAAGATAATGGAAGGAGAAGTGCTATGTGGACGTGTGCACTTAAACACTAAGAAGACGGCGTTTGGAATTCGGTTTGAGAGGCTGCAGAACAAGGAATAAACCACTGTTGTCTGATACACAAAGCAAACAAAGACTGGCATGGCCCAGACAGTATTCATGTTGAACCAGAAAAGATTGAGAGATTTTTAATGTATTCGTCCCAGAAGTTTACAAGCTACATAGCACAACCGCCAATCCGGAAAACCACTAGACCCGTTTCGCTCCATTGGGGCTCGTCAGTGGTGCGCATACCTTCGGTCACCTACTCGGGATCTAACCCATGACCGATAGAGGCTGACGCCAACTAGATCTATCATGCTATATCCCAGTTAGCTTGCAAATAATGTAGCCCAGTCACCGTCTCCCATGGCTCAGTGGCTTAATCTGCTGTTTACTTGGCGTCAGCCTCTAACGGTCATAAGCTCGATCTCCAGTAGAGGACCAAGGGAACGCGCATCACTGACGACCCGCAATAGAGCGAAATGCGTCTAGTGCTTTTCCGGATTGTCGGTTGTGCTATGTAGCTTGTGAGCTGCTTGGACGAATACAATAAAACTGCAACTAAAATCCTCCTATTCTTAACTAATATGAGCGATTTTTATTTAATGATGGGTGTCACTCCTGCATTCCTTGGGAATCATAACAACACATGTATCCGACGATTTCCAGGGAATAATACAAATCAAAATGTCTCAATCTCTCAGTCAAGCATCTAACAGAAATCATTATTTGGGGTTGAAAGACCGTCGATGAAATTGCGTGGCTCCATGTCGTCGATAGCATGGTCAATGTATGCAAAGATATGGAGATCCTCAAAGACTGCAAGTTACCATCAGCTCGAAAGCCAATCATGAAAGATTACTTCTTCCAGGATGATAATTCGCCATTCGATCGTCCAAATATATTCACAGAGCGGATAAAAAAGAAGCAGTGAGGACGCTGGAATAGTCAGCTCAATCACTAGATCTGAATGTGAATGAAAAGTTGGGGTACAGATTATCACTAGAAGCATTACACATACAGCCAACGACCAAAAGAGGACTTATATAGTCCCTTACCAAGGCTTGGAACCGTGTCATCAATTGTGAACATCTCCGAAAGCTGGTGCTTTCAGTGCCTGCGGGATGCAAACTAGATAAAAGAAACGAGCGCCGGCCAGTCACTTATTAACCATTAAGATTATGTACACCGTCCTTTTCTGGGCCTCTAAAACAAATGGAGCTTTATCTATCAAAATTTACCAGCCCTACTTCGGGCTAAGGGACACCACAGTTAGAACGCAGTTGTAGGTTGCTGCCATCAAGTGAAAGCTTAATTAATAATTAATATAAACTAACACCTGGGATGCCACAATTTAAGTGTATTGATATTGAAAAGATAACTATGTAAGACATGTATTTTATCTTACATGATGTTGCACTACATTTTACAGCGATATATATATATATATATATATATATATATGTGGTTGGCGGCATCCGGTTTCGGATTTGCCTGTCACTGTGACCAGCCACAGGACGCCTGCGCCTACAGAGGGACCATGGATGGCTTGTGCTGCACCACCCACAGCTCCATCCACACAACCCATATCCAGTGTAAACCCGAAGGAATAAGACCAGGAGGCATATGGAAGGGAGCCATGTTTCATTAACGGAGCCGGCCCACACTTCTTCACCCGCAAACACAAGCACGCTGTATTTGGGGAATCAAGTGCACACAAGGCCGTGGCTGGATCGTAGTCCGCTCCATACTGAGTGCATGGAACCACTTTTCGAGCCTAGCACGACCACAAGGACCGTGCACTCCGTCCCCTCCAGCAACGACCAACTGTCTCCTGGAGCCAGTATGGACGAGGTAGTGGGTAATAGACAGGTAGGCATCTTGTCAACCTGCACATCAAGCACAACCCCACCGGGGGTATCAAGCAACAGCAAATCACTTGAGAAAAAGAACACATAAAATAACTCGAGTAATGCATAAGGAAACGGTGATATATATCTTAAATTAATGAGCATATGTAATAAGTTGTTTACAAACGAATCCGAGATCAGTTCACGAGGTCGGAAAGTATATTTTACGGAAATTCCACAAACATGAAAATGTTATCCAAATTAACTACGATTAGCTTCAGCGACCTGTGCAAGTTTATAGAAGAGAGTACAGGTAGACACTTATATGAGAAAGAAAAGCCTTAGGACAAAATTGCAAACCCACCACCTGAAACAAACAGAGTTAGCATGCAAGCACGCGGTTAGTAAAGCGAATGCAGCGTACCTACAGACGCTGCGCCGGATCTTCCTACGTTCTCTGCAGGACCCGTCGTCGCTTCGGTATTGGTCCCGAGTGGCCTCGTTCATGGATCACTAGGTCTGCCTGACTCAAGCACTCGCGACCGCATGTGCTACAGCACCATGCGTCGAGGTCAATGGAGTACATCACATTGGTTCTTGCCGCTTCTTCTCTGCATGTATGAGGTCTTTCTCCCGCACTTCGGCAACTGGCTTCCTGATTAGATCGCGCCATGCACGCCGATCAACCGCCTTCGTTTCCCATGACCTGCAATCAAGATTAGAACGTAAGAGACTCACCTTGATCATGTTTTGGTAGCGCAATTTTGCTTTCTCCACGTGCCGCTTCACAGTACGCAGCTGACCTTATAATAGTTGTTTCGGTAACCGCGTCAAATCCATACGGCTCACATGACCGATTCATCACAAGTGTCCCAGTAAAAGTATGCAGTCCACTGTATACATTCCACTTTGTCGTAACACTTCCGTGTCAGAAACTCTGTCGCCCCAAGTGCTGCGCAAAATCCGTCGCAAACACTGCTGATGGAACCGCTCGAGTTTTCGCACATATTGCCGGCACATCGTCCACGTTTCACTGCCGTATAGAAGAACGGACAGCACCATGGATTTGTACACCATCAGTTTCGTGCCAATGGTAAGCTGATGGTTGTTCCACACTCGGTACTCAAGCTTCCCGAATGTCGCCGCTGCCTTCGAGACTCGGATACGCAGCTCACTATGTACCTCCAGATCAGTCGACATCACACTCTCAAGTTAGGAGAAGCGGAAGATGATTTCCAATACTTTAGCCCCAATGCCGATTCGCGGCAATATTGAAGATTGTACCTCTGGTGAATGCTGAAAGAGACGGACAGTTTTGCTTGTGTTGATGGTGAGCCCGAATTTGGCCGCTGTCGAAGCCAGAGCGCTAACCATGTGCCGCAACTCATCCGCGCTGTGTGAAAACAACGCACAGTCGTCAGCAAACAGCAACCTACGG